ACTACACTAAGAAAGCCTTGAAGTGTTGTTTGAACCTTTGAAGATTTGTTGTTTGTTCCATAATAAAGACTTTGTTGTATCATTAAAGACTCTAAAGACCGTCACTTCAGAAAAATCCCTGAGAACCTCTCTTTGAGGCCCCCTGGCTTCCCGCTGGGCTTAAAGTATACGTCCTATAGAAAAGTACAGCTGTTACAGGTCCAGCGCGCGACAGAACAACCTAAATGCCCCAGATCACATTTGACCATGGCTGCCAAGCAGGTTTAGTACTTGTATGGGAGACTGTAAATGAACATCAGGTGTTATGAGTTATTATTCAAAGGAAGAAACTGTCAAAGCTACCTATGAATATCCATTGCCTTAGAAAACCCTATGAAATTCTTGGGGTCACCATAAATTGAAAAGTGGCTTGAAGGCACACCAACATACACAACCACAGAAGAATAATAGGGAAGATTTCTATACCCAAACTCAGACCAATATAACCAAGAATAGGCACAGGGAGAGGAGACCAGAGCATCCAATTGCCATCTAGGATTTAATTCTGGATGAGCATGTTGACCTGGTTTGCATCAAAGAGACCTGGCTGGATGAGACTGGAGGGGGAGGGGGTGTCTGTGCAGCAGGCAAGGTCTGGGTGGGGGGGGGGGGGTTACCTGGCAAAAGAAAAGGCACCCATGATAATTTTTAAAGGTTCTAAAGGTTTGATTAAAAATCCGTTTTAGAAGACGGATAAAATTTTCTCTATTTGGCCTAGGATCTGCTTAGGTATGTGGTACTGCACTGCATTTTTCCTGGTTTCCATCTTATATTGAATTGACCAGTCCTAAGAATTTTGTTTTCTGAAGTTTGTGGCTGCTTGGAGGGTAATGAAATAAAACTCTTCCTGTTTGCATATGGAAGTCGTCTGTGCTTGGTTTTGAGCAATTCGTCCTATGCCATATTTTAGGATGGTGGCCAGAACTTCAGGGAAGGAAAAGGCTATCTCCTTCTGCCAACACAATTTCAAGGATCCAAGCCACTATGACTGCACATCACCAAGGAATAGTGGAACTACTAGGAATGCTGTATTTCAAGAAAGCCTCTCCCATGATTAATGATTTTCTCCATGAGGAATTCTTTCAAAATTTCCAAAGTTCTTCAGCACAGGGTTTAGAAGCCATTGTGTTCTCAAGTAAAAAAAAATGTTGGATAGGAAAATGATTTAGAAATCAATTCTTACATTCTGCTGTTGGCTCATCAAAGAGGGAAAAATGTAAAACTCCAACCATGGTCTACTGAAAGACATCTCTGCTTAGCAAGGAAGGGGTGCTATAGCAATGAACAGCCACTCTACTTTTGGGTGGGGCCTGGATAGATGTTTACAGGCTATGAATGGAATGGAATGGGAAAAGGGGACTGCAACAGAAGAAACTTGTTTTTCCAAAGCACACAGGAGTCTTGTTCTATTGAAATCCACATGATTTGACTTTAGCTATTCTGATTATTAAAAATTAAGACTGTGTTGCCAAAGAGGGAGCAAATCATTCTCATAAGTTAGAGCCAACCTCCTTTCCTCCATCATCAGGCAATGGGACCAAAGATCCCCATAGTACCAAAACAACTACAAGGGATTAGATGGAACTAGCTGAAAATAGATCCAATCGCATCCCAGTATAACAAGGGGCACAGCTAATACAAGATTGGCCTGCACCCACATTTCATCTAGCCCAGTGTTTTAGGCAGCTTTACTGGATTGCTTTAGCAGGAGGCCCAAGCCAAGGAAATAACAACACTCTCCCCTCTGGCAGACAGATCAGGATGGCTCCTCTCCCAGAGAGAGCCTCTTCATACCCTTGTGGTTGTACAAGGACATTGGGCTTGGGGCAAGGCATTTTGCATTCCTCACCAAATAAAAACAGTTTGGCTTCCAGATACTCTTAGAATCTCACAAAACGTCCATGTCTCAGAGCTGATCCAGATGTTCCATTTCTAAATGTGATCCATCTTTCTTGTCCTGTTTCAGTTGAAACCTACACATGAAGGATCACAGATTGAGATGGCTACTTCTTTAATTCGAGAAATTGCTTCTCAGAATTTATCTAATCACTAATGTCACTCTCTGTGATTTTCCATAATTCTTTGAGTCAGACATTACAAAACACAGTACATGCAAACAGACCACCTGTGAATGTAGTTATGTAGAGTTGCTAGCTCTGCTAAACCCCCATAATTCCAGTTTTCAACCTTCTTTTAACATAAAGCATTAATCTATAGATTATATCACAAGTCAGTTCAGGGAGGTAAAGGTTTCACTGTAGGAGTGTCTTCTAAACAAGCATACACCTCAACACAAGGTACTTGCTACTCATTAAAATTTCTACATCTGAAAATTATGGTTTATTAGCATTGCATTGTATTTTAGTTTACTCTTGCTAACATTCAATTTGTTCTTTGGTAACTATGATCAAATAGTAACAGTAACTATGATCAAATAGTATTGGGACAATTTTATTGCACTGCCATCCTTTGTAAAACTCTCTTCTCTCCTCTTTTTATCATATGTCTGCCTGCCTCTGTTTGTCTTTGAGCTGTTCCAGCTTTTTTCTCTATTTATAATCTAGTCAATAAAGCCTTATAACTCCCACCAAGACACCTCACCTCTGCAGAACTCCAAAACCTCACATTCCTCCCAAATGCCTTCAATCTCCACTGCAATCCTTCTCAAAATGGAGATATAGTCACTATTTTGAGAGAAACTGCAGAGGGAAAATGGAAACATTTGGGCTCTGATAGATGCAACACTCTAACTCTAACCCTAACCCTCCACATGCTTGCTAACCCCTGATCTATTGGAAAAGATGGTCAAGAGGTCCACGGACTGCAAAGCGGTACTACTGCAGAAATTCACTCCAAATATATCCTTCAATTTTTAAAAAACCATACAGAAATTCCAAGAAGAATCCTTTTCCCCTTTGCTAGAACATTATTTTATTTGGGGGACTTGGAAGAACGTTTTTATTTAGCATTCCTAAACTGTCAGCCTTTCCAATTTTGTGCTGTGTGAGATAAAGAGAAAAGCTGTTTTCTGACATTTCCCAATGTTGTTTATTACATTTAATTTTGCATTTCCCTGGTTTTGTTTGTACTTTGCAGGACGAAATACCACCATCACTTTCTTTTAGGATCATTTGTTCTTGTGTGTTCTGGATATGTGGTCATGTTAATCTGTCTCTGTATAGGTATTCATCCATTCATGAATACTAGCCGCTTTTGCTCCAGACAAAGGAGCAAGGTACCCCATAGGATCAGGTCCATGGGTACCTCCTATCTGTTAGTGGTTCCCAAAATGTGAGGTGGCTCTCAGTAAAAAAGCAAAGTGAAGTAAATAAAGTACAAATTGCTTCCTAATTGACATGCACTGTGACTAGGAAATATCCATCCATCAATAGAATATAGGCAGGTGCCAGTTATGTATCACAAGGGAGCCCTTCATCAAATGTATGACTCATACAGCACACATCAAGATCACTATGAAAGACTGTCATTTCAAAACACACCTGTCCACTAGAAAGTCAACAAGTTACTGGTATTAAAAAGGTCATGTGCATGAAATATAACCTGCCTTTATATGGTCAGAGTTAAACTAGGTTTGGCAAAATTTCAATCATGCGAACATTTAAGAGTCCTTTTCCAAAATCCATCGGATTACCTAGCAATAGCACCGGGGGCCAGATATTTGATTAAAAGAGTGTTCATAGGCCCAAACAAGACCCTGTTTGAAAGGATATTGTTGATTATTTATTTAATTATTTATTGTTATTGTGAAATGGGCAAGAAACAAAGATAAGGCATATGGGATTCTCAGGACACTAACAGACAAGGTCCAAATATGAGCTGCAATTTCTCCAACCACAAATGAAATCACTTACAGTGTATGACATTATTCTATATTTTTTCCAAACCAGTCAGCAACACATCTGTAAACAGTGCCTATCACTCCCAGTTTAAACATAGAAAAGTGCTTCGAATCTGTGAAAGCACTTCAGCTGTGAGTTTAGAGGTTATCCCGTACTATCTGCCCCACACAATTAGGTCCTCTGGGGGTTGTCTGCTCCAAACTGCCAGAACCAGACTGGCAACCATCACCCAGAGGACCTTTTCATCAGCCAGCCCAAGATTGTGGAATGACCTGCTGGTAATTCCAACAGCCTAGGTCACCTGTTGAAATTTTAAAACCATGTAAAGACATATCTCTTCCAGCAGGCCTACCTAGCCAGTTTTTAAGTGTGGCTTGTGTTTAATCTCAGTTTTGTGGATATGTGGATTTGTAGTACTTTTATAATGTGAATGTGTTTTAATTATTCTATAACCTGCCTCGAGCCATGAGGAGAGGCAAGTAAAAAATGAAATTATTGTTGTTATTATTATTATTTGGGGACATGATGTATCATTGTGAATGTGTTGAGAACATCGCTTTGAACTGCATCACTTACCTAGGACCGCAGTGCTAGTCATTTTACTTCCAGCAATCAAAATTAGAGAAGTTTTGGAATATACATAATGAGATCTTGGAAATAAAACCCAAATCTAAACAAAAAAATTGTATTTCATATAAAAGTCTTTATAGACATAGCCTGACAGCAATTTTTATACCAATTATATTTAATTATTTTGTGCATGAAATAAAGTGTGTACATTGAAACAAAGGTATAATGATCTCAGCCACCCATGGGAACAATTCTGGATTGTGCAGAAATTGGGTTTCCAGATAAGGGTTACTTAAGATGCACTTAAGATCCTAGTACAAAGGAGCACAGGAAGAAACCCGAAGGCAGGGCAGGTCCCCTGGGGCATTTATCTTCTTGTATATACTCAGAGCTTGGAAATGTTACCTTTTAAGACAACAATTCCAGAAATTCCCTATTCAACAAAGGTTATTCTGGGAATTGTAATAAAAAAAAGTTTCCCAAGTTCCACTTGTATTTTTCTGGAATAGAAGTTGATTAGATTATACTTACTGGGGTTTCTACATGCTTCGCAGGACTCTCCTCAGTGGATGTCTATAGAAGGGAGAGAAACAAGGAAAGTATGAAGACTCGGTTCATGTTCTTTGTTCTTCCCCATAATTATAATACAAAATGTAACGGGAATTGCAGTTCAACACCATCTGGAGTGTTGCAGGGGTCTTACCCCTGGTTGAAAACACCCCCTTGGAGAGACATTTCCAAACAGAGCAGGTAGTACCATACCAGAGTTCCTCATATTGCCATCTCAGCTTGAACACACCCTTTTCCTGGTTTATACAGCCATGGAATAGTTGGTTAAATTGTATTCAAAATCAACATAAATCCTGACCCAAACATCTGCTCCAGGAAGATTGTTTACAATGTAGAATCATGTAGATCACACATCTTTATTACTCATGGCAAAGTCTATACATGCACTACTTGACCTCATAGAAACATGCAGTAATTGTTTTCCTTTTAACAGTTCCATTTGCAAGTGCAAATAGTAAATGCCATGAGAAAAGAATTCATACTTTTATTTGCAATATTTCACACTTCATTTTGCAAATGTTGACATATGAGTTTGGCATAAGTGGGGCTGAACACAAAAACTGGGAGTAGTTGCAGATGCCAGTAGCCTGAATCACAGTGTTTGGCTGAAACGGTCTACACATTTTCCCCAACAATTTGCAAGTACAAGTAGTAATCCCAGACCTTGAAAAAATTACTGATTACTATAAGTGTCTTTTCTCTTTTGGGGTTCAGTCTGAATGATTCTCTCCCTTCAAGATGGGTTCCATTTAGACTTTTGAAAAGACATTTAGCATCATTTATTTCTAAAGAGATTTCAGGGATAGCTGACCAAACCATTCACCTTCTTTCCCCTTCAGGTGCATTTTCACTTAATTCTCTCTTTAATATAGTAGCACAACTGAAAATAATGTCTGCCTATTTATATGAAACTTCCTTTTTCTTTTCAAGTTTGTGTTTTAGATACACTTAATTGTGTAGTAGGGCAGATCTACACTGATCCAAAAATCCTGGGCTAAACCAGTGTGGTGTATGCTAAATCAGCTGGTATGAATCACATAGGCGCTCTCTCAGAAACTGCTGAGGTGGGAGAGAGTCCTGACTTCCTGGCAGTACCGAAAGTAGATTGGCGCCACTGGAGGGCCACCCAAACCATCTCCTCCCACTCTTTGTGTCACAGAGGTTTCTGGCCACAACACAAATCCTACCTGTTGGCCATCTTGAACCCAGGGATTGCTGTGGTACCTCTCCCAATTCCAACTAAAGAAGCAGATTGGAGTTGACTTTGGTACTAGCAGTTGACAGTGGAACTCTCTCCCTAGGGATATTAGATCAGCCCCTTCCCTCCTGACCTTCCAAAAAAGAGTAAAAACTTGGCATTTGAACAAGCTTTTGGAAATGCAGCATAATAAATCTTTATGAAACTATGAAGAATGAACATGGAATGGCTACTGGACAATGAGTTTAACAGCACAACACTGGTGATTATTTGTTTTTAATGGTTTTTATAGTATTATGCTGAATGTTTTAATTCTATTTTTTTGAATGTATGGCATCAAATTGCTGACAATTCTGTAAGCTGCCTTGAGTCGCCTTAAGGCTGAGAAAGGCAAGCTACAAATATAATAAATAAATAAATACATACATACATAAACTAGGTGGAGCCTAGTTTACGAGATGTGGGACAGATAACTTTGGCCTACAAGAGGGACGAATAGCTAGGGGCCCTGAGGAGAACAGCTGGTGGAATTTTCCCTCTCAGCACTCCCTCCAGCATCTGCCAATTGAGGATGTCTCTTCACTCTGCCTGATAGAACTACCAGCTTTTTTCTGTGTACATTTTATGTCAGCCCCCAATGCAGTTCACTCAGTAAGGTTATGAGCTTATTGACACTTTATCTACACTGATATATTAAATAGCAGCAACAGAAAGAGTAAAGGAAAAAAGGAAGCAAACATTGTTATGAAGGCAAAGCAAGACAAAGACTTAAAGCATCCTGCGAAAACAGCATGGAAATGATAAACAGACTTGGACAGAGGTGAGCCTATAAATGATATGGGACTGAAAGATGAGTGGCAAGATCTATAACCTTAGCATGATATGTATGCCTAAAAAGTATTTCAATCTATACCTTCAGGAATGCCTCAGATGCGTCATTTAATCCATAGATAGACACAACATGATTTAATGTTTTGCCTCCCTTGCAGGACACATATCTGCCTCTGAAGAGAAGAACATTTATGGTCTGTGCCATTCAGAGTAACATGATAAATCAAAGATTCATCAAGGCCCTCTCATCATAGCTCTGTGTAATACTGGAGCTTTCAAGCAAATTGGAATGTGACAATGGACAACCAGGTTATTGTGACCAGTGCAATATTGGAGGATAAAAAGGGGAACAAACAAGCATATGCTACTGATGGTCCCTGACAAATATTTTAGAGCAAGGTTGAGGAGCATGATGCTACTGGGCTTCAACTCCATTAGGACTAGCCAGTATGGTCAATGATGAGGCATCCTAAGAGTTGTAGCCCAAAAACATCTGGGAACTACAATTCATTTATGGGTTTATTTCACCTGACTTTTGAATTATGAAGCAGATTGGAAGGACCGAGTTATACATTTTCTGCTAGTAACTGTGCTCATGGCTACCTACCATAGCCATGCTTCCTGCCCTAGGGTGCAAAGCAGGCAATGCTTGGGTGACATTGCTGTCTTGGGCAACACTTCAGGAGATGGCAGGTTCCTGACATGCTCTGCAGTTTCCTTTACAAACCCACAATAACGGTCCCAAAGTGGCTAGGCCATGTGCCTTTCCCAGATAAAGTTCCACACTAGGAAACTTTCTTGGGGAGCCACATCTTATACATTTACCATCCAAATATGCCAGTGTGTGCACAGAGATTAATCTGTGTGCTGAGATAATAAAAAGCAGACCACTTGTGATAACAATATTTTTGCAGAGCAGCTGGTAACAAGGCACAGAAAAACAGAAAATGAAAATGCCCTCTTGGGCTCAGGGAGAAACAACTGAATTGGAAGGGGCACGGAACAGATGGATGTGACTTGGCAGAGGCTACTTTAGGTACTTTGGCAAGACCTGCTGTAAAGGCTAACTTGGCTGTGTGCCTGGACATAAGGATGAATCATGGAATAGCCCAGAATGATGACACTTTCTGTGGTAGCAAGTACGTTACCCAAGGAAGTTGCTGTTGGCAAAGGTTCACAGAACCTTTGGAACTCTCCAGAGCTTGATATGTCAATCAAAGAATAAAGGGACACATATCTAGATTTATCAGAACATAACTTCAAAATAATTGGCATTTTTATCTGTTCCATACTTTTATCTGTCCAACATAATTGTACAGTTCTGAGATAAGTATCCACTATGTCTATACAAACAGAAATGTGGCAAAACAAATCTAATTCTATAGTTCACATTGCAAGCAGGGACTAATGAGATAGGAACTTGTTGCTGTTGAACACTACCACCAGTTATATTTCCCCAGTGCTGCTAAGAGGAGCATTATTACTGCACAGAACCAGCTGACCTTAAACTATTACTACATTGGGGAGGGGGGGAATGCTACCAAATAAAATAGGGTGGTCCTTGCTATCATATTCTGTTCATAATTTTCCAGAGAAGAAAGTGATTGGCCACTAAAAACCATTTGCAATTTATCGCCACCCTTGTGTTGGGCTGGAAGTCAATTAGGAGCACTTTGAAGAAAACATCCAAGAGAAAAAAAATGCATCCCCACAGGCCAACCTGGCTGCAGGAGACCCATTCTAAAAGTGGGAAGAATGCAAGAGAAGTGACTCATTCTTTGCACAGGTTGTAAATTTGGAACCTTCTTCTGACTAGAATTTTGATGACTTGACATAAATTGGCAGTCCAACCAAATCCACAATTTTCACCTGCAGCTCTTGGTAAAACTGAAGTGGTGCATCCCCAGTGTTATACTGCTAGTCTCCAATCTCTCCTGACAACCTGGACTACCCCTTTTTGTGATCTAAAGAAGGGTAAAAAAGCCTTCTGGAAGAGCAATTCCTTTAAAAAAAAAAGACAGGGCTCCCACCTACAACACACTACATAACATCCTAATATACCTGGATTTTTTCAAACTCAGAAGTGGACTTCTGATAAATTTGAGTTTTGTCTTCCTTTTGGGGGGGGGGGCAGTTTTGGTAGTCAGTATGGCTCCTAGACAATCACAGAGCCCTAACATTGACCCCAGATCTATTACAGTGACTCATCCCTAAGTTAAAGAAAATCCCCTCAGTTTTAAATATAAGGACAAAAGAATTTTTATTTGCTGAATGGAAAGTGTAATCCCAAGTAGGAAGATTTCTGTAATGTATTTTTATGTTGGCTTCAAATGTCTTTTTTAAAAAGTTACAACAGATATTGCTGCCTTCGGTCTATGCAAATAGCCTTTTTGCACAGCTGCTCAAGCACAGTCCCCAGGCCAACCTCCTCCCACCCACTACCCACCACTCATCAGCTGGGTGAGCCAAGGACATGGTTTCCAAAGCAAAAAAAAACTCTTGGTTTAGTCAGACTTGGCAGAGCCAGACTGGGGCCCACAGTATGATTGGACCAGCATGTGGGTGGTTTTCATGTGCAAGAGTTACAAACCAATTTAGCGATTTTGCTCAGCTAACCCCACCCTTCCAGATGTTGGAATGAGAGAATCTGCCAGAATAATCTGCCCTTGAAGACTGGATACAACTTACATGAAAACAGAACAAAACACAACAAAAAAGAGGCTAATTGTGTCTAAATAATGCATATCCTCCAACATTTCACAGATGAAAATCAAGACACATGTGGCCAAGCAGTTTCAGAGTGCAGTCAAAATAGTAAAGATTATTAACAAGGAAGAATGTACAAACTAAGAGAGGATGTAGTTTGCTTTCCCCCAACTCCGTCCCTCCCCAGCCTAGCTAAAGTTGATTGTGTACAAACTATCTTTGTATTTTGAATATTGTTTTCAGCAACTGTAAGCAGCCCAGGTAAAGG